ATTGGCCAGGCTGGTCTCGAACTTCTGACCTTGTGATCCACCCGCCTCGGCCTCTCAAAGTGCTGGGATTATAGGCGTGATCCGCTGCGCTTGGCCTGTTTTAAGAAATCATTATAAAGTACATACGTGCTTGATACAATGCCTGACACACAGAAAGCACTCAATGAAGAGAAGCCATGTCTTTGTTTAGACAGGGAGGTGTGCCTTGCAGGAATTAGCCTCAATATACATTGGGTGCCCACTATATGTTCCACAATCATCTTAAAATAGTACTCAGATCCTGGCAGAATTTACTTTCCAGTGGGAACAAGAGATAGATTAACAGGTGCTATGAGCTGTAGCAAAATAATGAGGCAGAACAGAATAGGAGCCACCCACCTATTTTCAAATCCCAGCTCGCCCTTGGCAAAGTTACCTAACTACTCTACACAGTTTCCTCAGTTGTAAGACAGAGCTAATAAGAACAATGACAATACTACCTCATAGGGCTTTGTGAGGACTGAGTTAATATGTGTAAAAGTGCTCAGAACCGTGTCTAGCTCACAGGACTACATAAGCACCAGCTAATATTAACACTAACGTATTAACTGCTAGGTGGAGAAATTAAGCCTCCTAGAGGAGTCGAAGAAGTTTTTCTAAGGAGAGGACATCAGATCTGGGCCTTGAAGGATGTGCAGGAGTTTACTAGGTGGTGACAGGCGCCTGTAATCCCAGCTTCTTGGGAGGCTGAGGCAGGAGAATTGCTTGAACCCGGAAGGTCAAGGTTGCAGTGAGCCGAGATTGCACCACTGTACTCCAGCCTGGCAACAGTGAGACTCCGTCTCAAAAAAAAAAAAACAACAAAAAATTTTCCCCAATGAAGCAAATAAATCCAATTTATACCTACCATTTACTTGGCAGTACAGTGACAAAACACTATGCTATTTACAAAAGGACCTCACTTAATCTTTACCACGTCCCCTGGAATACAGATAACTTCATTTAATATAGGAGGAAACAGGCTTTTAAGCAATAGTCCCCAGATCACACAGATAGTATATTAGAAAGTAAAGTGTTCAGCTGCAAATACAAACAGTGGCTTCTCTCTCCCCCTGCCCCTTCCCCGCCACGTAAAACAAAGTCTGGAGGTGGCAGTTATTATCGGTTCAGTTATTCAAAAATACCACGAAAACACCTTCCATCTTTCCCCCCACCATGTTTAGAGTATCAGCCATCGGCCCTGAGGTTTATAAGGTCTCCCACTCCCTATAACGCTTTCTTATTCTCATCTTAAAGTCTTACCAGTCAGAATTTTGTCAAGCTTTACTTTTTGAAGTATTTCAGCAGAGGTCAGCTCAATACAACTCACTAATTTCACAGAAGGGGAAATAGATTTGCCCCTAGCAAACTAACAAGAGTTAATGAATTAGTTAAATGAGCCTGGAGTTGAGTATGCCTTCCATGATACCAGTTTAGTGGGGACTGTAAGTTATCCACCAAAACCTGTCCTCCCATTCCGTCTTGGCACATGGCTTGACTACGTTTCTCAGCCCTCCTGGCAGGTAGGTGTGGCCATCGGGCTAAGTCCTCACTAGTGGAAAGTGAGAATGTTTGCAGAAGTATCCATGCCACTGCAGGGTCTAGGCCTTCAGGCAGCAGGTCAGCCTTCTCCCTGCTCCTTTTCCCCTTCCCATCAGCTGGGACCAATGATGACCCAGCTTCAAGCATGCAGCAGATGAAGACAATGCTCCAGAGGATGGAGAAGCAACATGATACGAGGAACCTGTGTCCCTGAATGACCATTTGGAGCAGAGCTGTCTCAATGACCTGGACTGCTCACTTCAGACAGGTTAACTCCCTTCAGAGCTGTTATGTGGGAAAGAATAAACTTCTTTGTTCTTTAAGCCACTGTATCATTGGGTCTCTTTGTTGTAACACTTAGCCTTTTACCCACACTAATACAAACATGCAGCTTCCTTTGTAAGCATTCAGAGTAGCTTTACAAATAACCAGTTAGCCACCATTTTAGACAACAGCCCTAACTGCTCAAGTAGGTGATAATCAAATCTAAAATTCATGCAAGTGGCTATCCCAAAATTTCTTCATCCTGGCTGAAGGATATTTAACAATTGAAGCAGATCACCTAGGTAGAGACCTAGTTCGTTTTTATGCTTTCGTGAAATTAATTTAACAAATATTTGACTGTTTCTAGGTGCCAGGGATATTAACAAGTCACTGCATTCATAAAAGGTTGATTTCATGCATGTGTTTGGGAGAAGGGGTTATTTTATTTTTGAGCCACATGGTCTTGCTCTGTCACCCAGGCTGGAGTGCAGTGGCATGATTGTGTCTCACTCTAGCTTCAATCTCCCAGGCTCGTCATCCTCCTACCTAAGCCTTCCAAGTAGCTGGGACTATAGGCATGTCCCACCATACCTGGCCATTTTTTTTTTTTTTTTTTTTTTTTTTGTAGGCTGGTCTCAAACTCCTAGGCTTGAGTGATCCTTCTGCCTCAGCTTCCCAAAGTGTAGGGATTACAGGCGTGAACCACTACACCCAGACTATTGTTTTTTAATGTTATACTGTGTGTTTTGTTTTAAGGAAAAAAAAATCCTCTTTGGAACTAAACAGAACTAAGAGAGTACAAAAAATTGGAGAGTTAGGAAGGATCAAGCCATATTCCTGGAGTACAAATGAGCTGTTCTCTTGCTTAGCCCTAAAAATCAAGTAAAGTATTTTCAAGTCTAAGAATCTAGATCTCTCTTGAGAATCAAAGTACTTTCTACCCAGTTACAATTGCCTGAACTGTAAGAAGTATCTAAAGCTGGCCAAGTGCTTTAGATACTTCTTACAGTTGGAAGTGGCTCATGCCTGTAATCCCAGCACTTTGGGAGGCTGAGGCAGGAGGATCACAAGGTCAGGAGTTCGAGACCAGCCTGGCCAATATGGTGAAACCCTGTCTCTACTAAAAATACAAAAACTAGCCGGGCATGGTGGGTGGTGCACGCCTGTAGTCCCAGCTACTTGGGAGGCTCAGGCAGGAGAATCACTTGAACCTGGGAGGCAGAGGTTGCAGTGAGCAGAGATTGTGTCACTGCCCTCCAGCCTGGGCGACAGGGAGAGACTCCATCTCAAAAAAAAAAGTATCTAAAGCCTAATCAAGATTTTTACTGACAGAAGCAGATGAACCTAATAGCTCACTGAGTATTGGAATTAATTGCCAAAGCCATTTAGATAGCACTGCTGGTGTGATGGAGTGGAGGCTCTGGGTACCTGGACTGGAGGGCTATGCTTGCCTGGGGATTAGCTATGGCCAGATGGTACAAAGTGGCATTCCTCATTCTCACTCCAGGCTGAGCAAATAGCCCAAAGCTCTATGGTACTTTTCAGCTTTCAGATGAGATTTGGTATGAGATTTAGTAGTAGAGTAAGAAAGGTGATCTAAGGTTTGTCCTGGCTTTGCCTTGCTCTGTGACTAGAACATCCATTTTTAGGCCTCAGTTTCCCCACCCATACAAGAGGTAAAGGATTCTTTCATCTCTATATTTATGACCATCACAAGACAAATTACTTTTCTTCCCTACACTCGACAGCAAAGTCATTCATAGGGCAGCAGGCACAAAAGGGGAAATCTACTCAGGGCAATGGCTCAGACCAGAGCACCATGCAGATTTCTAGTGAGTGTTCTGCCTTTCCCAGGCTCTTTGCTGCTGATAAAGGAATTCATTTGGCTGAATTTACAATTTCTAAGATGATCAGTGGGCTCAACCAGTGCCTTACACTTAGTAAGTGCTTTGTAAATATTAGACACTTTGATTTTTTTGTAAAAAATGCCTGATTTCCAATTGCCGTGGAGATAATGAGTCCGGTAAGTTACTGCTCCAGGTATTTCAGATGGAAGGATTAAAGGCTTTTTAGGCTTTAAAACATATTTAGCAACTTGGTCAGAGAAACTAAGGTTCTTCCCTACAAACAGCCAGCTTAACACAGTGCTTAATAGCTTGAGTTTCCAGCCTCACCTCAATTCCAGCTCTGCCACTAGCTAGCTGTACTCCATCGCTGAGCCTTAGTTTTCCCCCTTGTTAACAGCATCTCCCTCCCAGGACTGTGTGAGAAGACAACGCATAAAGAGGACTTGGCACTACTTGGCTCACAGTAAGCACCCATCTCCCTCCCACTGGGAAGATGTGGTTTCCCACTTTGTTAGGTCCTAATAGTTAATAAACTTCTTAGCCCAGAGAATAAACTTATTTTTGACATTCAAATCAGCTAAAGATGGGTGAGGCTCTGTTTAAAAAGGTCAGTTGAGTTAGTTTTTTTCATTCTAGCTTCTCCTCTATGAAGTCTTATATGCATAGGAAACAAAACATTTACCATTAACTGCTTTTCAAGGTCCAGCAGAAATGCTCCTCCTTCCATGATCCCTTCCCTTCCTTCTAAACTGAAATTCTACACAGCTCTTAAGGCCTCTGATATTCAATTGCCTGGATTGGTGTTTGTGTATGCATGCAATTATTTACAAGCTCCCTGACGGCAAGAACCACATCTCATCTCTGCATTCCCTTTAGCCTAATTCAAGGCCTCTCATATAGCAGATTCTGAACAAACAAAATGTATTTGAATGGGGAGTTAATGCTTAAGGGGCACAAAGTTTGTTTGGAGTGACAAAAAAGTTTTGGAAACAGATAGTGGTAACGATTGCACAACATTGTAAATGTAGTCAATGCTGCTTAATGATACCCTAAAAATGCTATATTTGATGTTATATGTATAAGTAAGTATCTATTTAACATTGCTGGCAGCTCAGGTCACTCTAGAGGGCTTCAACTGGAAATAACAGACCTCCAATAAAAGACCTTCTCTAGATGTCTTCAAGGACTATAATGTGTTAAGTAAACACCTGCTACATGAATGAACAGACAGCATGATCTATGAACAATGTCAAATTTGAGAAAAAGCTATCATGTTGATAACAGAGTATACTGTGCATAAACTAGACATGGACTTGTATGTCTTTTTACGGATCACAGAGGCTCTTGTAAATTTTTTCTTTATTTAACCTTCAATAAAAATAATATGGATTTGTAATTCAACAGAAAGACAGCAGTGATAATAACTATTACATATGAGCAGCTCGCCAATTTCAAAGTCTTTATTCTTCAAGTCCCATGTCACAGCTTCCTCAGTCTGATTCCTTCTGTAGAATTCCGAGAACTAGAGTGGTTCACTTAATCATCTCAATGGGGATGGTCCTTTCCTGCTATTCACTCAAATCTAGAGCTCCTGATATGTGGCTCACAAATACTTCAGTCATCTACAAAAGCATCTGGAATTTAGATAATTTTGGCCATAATAAAACTTCTTTAAAGGGATATAGTCAGTCCTGGTATTCACCACTAAAAAGATCCTCACATACAAAAATGTGGAATCCGTGCCTTATTAAAAAAAGAATCTTTAAGTTTCAAAGAAAAAAAAAATGCTTTCCTGAACTACATCATTTCCAGACACATCAGCCACACAAGGAGCTGACAAGACCTGCTGTTTCCATTACAGAGAACATGAGACTTTAAAACCACACCACTGAATGAAAGAAAACGGTGAGAGCTTTTCTCCTATGCAGGCAATTCTACATGGCACTCTCTGCCCAGACTGGGAGACAGACATAACACTCCCTCCTGAACTGGATCCTTGCCACATTTGCAAAGGCCACCGGACAAGTCTCTTAAATGCAGCATTTCAACTTTTGATCATTCTGCCCTGGGGATCCCTTCTCTTTAGGTTCTTTGTCATGGTCTAGGGAAATACTCTGACTTTCCATGGTGTTGACAGCATCTGAATCCAATCTTCTTCTTTTCTTCAGTTGGTTCAAGTGGGATTTGGATTTTATATGAGCTGATAAGACAAAACCAAACAAACAAAGAAAAAACTCATTAGAATTTTCAGAATTAATCCTAGAAGCAAGTAAAATTAACTATACAATGCTTTTCTTCAACAATAAATAGCAGGATCAACGTATAGCTGCTTAGCATTTTTGAGGGAAGAATAAATTATACGGCCAGCGAGCTAGCAAAATAAAGCTACCACATATCAAAGTGCTCCCTGCTAGGTACTTTACATCACTAATCCTCATGGCAGTCTTGTAAGATGGTACCATTCTGCCCATTTTATACAAGGGAAACTGAAGTTCAGAGAGGTCTTACAAAATGTTCAAGGTCACACAGCAGGTAAACTCTTCTACTTAGACCTATAGCTTCAAAAAGAGATCCTACTTTCCAGAATCAGGTCTCTGTAGTATGGGGCTTCCTGCTACAGATGCATTTAACTTGTAAGGCTGAAAAGTTAGAAATTCAAATCCTCATCTGTACTGCAGGGCATTGCCTGTTGTCCTTCCTGGTGTGACATCCCTGTGCTTGAGTCAAAAAGGTCATGCGAATGACTCTGGCAAGATTCCTATTCTCTAGGCACACACCGCTCCAGGGAGACAGGAAGGTGCATTTACCACCGACGATCTCTTCTGAAGGTCCACAGAGGAAGTGAAGCTAAAGGCCACTGCTGCCTGCTATCAACTCCTGATCTGTCACCCCTAAGACAGTTCCCACCTTCTGACTGACTCATACAGGTTTATTTTCACTATTTTCTTTTTTCAAGGAAATCTCATCTGGTAACACTGAAAGAGATAGACAACTAGTTTAAATTCTCTTTTATATATATTTAAAACAGCATTTTTAAGAGTTTAGAAGCAAGAATAAGTAAGGTAGGGGTTAGAAGTAAAAGAAAAGTTTACTTGGGGAAAGAAGTCAGCTTTGTTCTCTAGCTAAAGCCTAAGGCAAAAAATGGGCTTCTGGGCTGGCTCTCCAAGGCAGCAGGAGATGGGAGTAGGACTTGACAGATGGCACTACAGAAGGGCTTACACAAGCTAAGCTCACAAAGGCTCACAAATGTTGCTTCTCTAAGGCTATCCCTGAAGGACATTCAACAAATCGAACCACTAAGTTTCCTTTAGACAAAAACAATCAGACACTCTCTTTCTCTTCCCCTTTCATCATTATAAACCAACGACAATCGAGGCTTCTTCTGCTGGTTGGGCAATCACAGCCGTCCCCAGTCTCTGACAATGGAGTTCATTTTGCCAGTTACCAGTTAATAGACCTAATCATTCTATTGGCTGCTTTGGGAAGAAAAATCTACTTCTCTGAGAATCCCATGCAAAACAGCACTCTGAACAGAAGGATCCCAGCCGCTGGGTAAATGATAAGCCCCACTGTGCCTGAAAGGAGCAAGCCTTACACCTGTTTCTAAATACATTAAACTCAAGGCTTGAGGATGAAGTCCTGGGCTTTATGTAGATGACTACAGAAATCTGAAAATCCAACAATGTGAGGGCAATGAGACTCTGCGGCAGAGGCAGATCCAGGCTCTAATGCGGGCGGGGTACAGAGCCTTAGGGTGGGGCTGGCCCTGAGGTGGTGGGAATCTAACCTTCTTTATAAATGTGTGACAGGCTTGCTTTCACACAATTTCCCTTCACATCTTTTTATCACGGTTTTAGCAACTACCACTATGTCAACAATTACTTCAAAAGTTACTGAAGAGGTATCACTTTTAAAAAACACACTCAGGAGTAGTAACTGTATATCCTGCCCCCACCCAGCTATGCTTCTGCTTCTTCCAGTCTACTGGATGAGCTGCCTGGCCTCCCTTAGACCCTTACTTCCTAATCTCACACCCACTGAGTTATAAACATGAAACGCCAAGAAATTCCTCTAAGGCTGACCATGAAGTCAAAGGAGCTCTAGAAATTTAACTGCAGATCTCTTAGTACAAAGTATCAATTCCAGCTGAAGAAGATGGAGAGCATTTGATCTTCCTTTGAATCTCAGAATACAGAGACAACTCCCCAACTGGGGAAAGCCTCCAAGGAATTTGGGAATAGGCTCTTCGAGGAATCTAGCTATCCCTTTATAAATAAATAGACTATAGGTTCAATCTACCAAAGACCTTAAATTTCATGAAGTCAATGTGAACCCACCCTTATAGATTTCTTCACGCCCCTCCCCATACTCTACCTGCCCATTCACGATCCCCAATGATGATTCGGTCACAGATGTTACACATGTGATAACTTCTCTTGTTCTCAGCTTCGTTGTATGGCATCTTTATTGGAGTGGCTGTAGGCTTGCGGCCCTAAAAGATCAAGGGTGGAAGAAGTATTCAATTCAAAGAAATCTGAATATGATTCTCTATTAAGGGAAGTAGGATTTTCCTAAGATTTCTTTTTTTCACCCCAGACAGCAGATTGGCTATATACAGATTTTAGCAACAACCTTTCTAAATGTAAAAGTAGAAAAGCAGTCTCCAGTCTCTATCGAAAAACAGCCAGCTCTTCTGCTTTATTCTATGGAAAAGAAGGGCTGGCTCTTCAATATAGCAACAAAGGTGTCAGCTAACAAAAGTGCTCTGAAAACCAGAAAACCGACTGTATAATGATTCACAATTACCTGGATGAAACTTTGCACGATTTCAAGAGCAGGTTCGAGAACAGACTCTTCCCACTTCGAGACATCAGATACCTCTAAGCCATAGACAGGGGGGGCACTGGGACCGGGTCCTAATTATGACAAAGACAGGTTGTGAGATTAGCCTCTATGACCCAATCTATTCTGCACCCAGGACTCTGAAATCCTCCAGAGAAACACACAGAGCCAAAGGAGTAAACATTCTGACCATGCTATTCATTCTAGCCGAACATGAACCACAATCCAAGAAAGACCTAGAGGTTCAACTGCTCTGCAGCCAATAAGACTAGCTACATAATCTGAATACATGGGTGCAGGATCTTCCAATCAGCCAGGAAACCAGAATAGTGTGGGCTACAACACAAAGACAGCACATCACAAGAAGAAATAAACTAACAGCTTTAAGTAAGTGCCTATTTTAAGTTCCAAATCATCTTACAATGATGGCGATCTGTGGCAAGAGAATTCACAGCTTTTTTTAGGAGCAGATACTAGTCTTGGGTTTGGATATACTGCCTCAGCGGCCTGGGACTCATGAAATTCCTTGACAGCATGGGCTGGAATTATATCAGTCAATGAGCCGCAGAATCTGCGAACTAGAAATAAGCCTTGGAATTGATGTAGTTGAGTAACTTCTTTTAAAGACCTGATCTACAGGGTATTCAAGACCCCCTGATAGACACTTTTGAATGAAGATGAGACTGAAGGTAGCAAAGAATATAGCCACAGGTATTTCACCCACCTGAGCCAACCATGTTGCAAGAGTTTAGTCTCTGTGGTAGCTTCTCAGCCTATGAACACACTCAAATTGCCTTCCACAGCTAGGTTAAGTCAGTTGCCTAAAGGCAAAGAGCATCGCCCATGGACAAAAACATCAAAGGCCTTGGGATGCCAGCGACTGGCAGGTGCTGGCCTTTTGATTGTGCCAACCACAAATAAGATTCTTCATAAACTGGACTGGGCTGCACCTGCCACCACACGGAAAGGTGAGACTAGGAGGGTGCAGGCAGCATCCACAGCACACCTGGCCTTGGCTAAGCTCTGCACCTGTTTCCAGGCCACTCTACATTTTCCTTTCTCCTCTAAGCCTTTTGTTGGGCTTCTGTGCCCTGTCTAAGCACCTTTCAACAAGTTCTCGGCTCCCAGCTGCTATTTCTGGCTTGGGTCCAAGGCCAAGCTGGAGTGGGGAAGTCCCCCTGGCTTCCTGCCAGAACCATATCCCAGCAGACCAGCCCTGGCCAATCATGCACGGCTCCTGATTTACAGGGCAGCTGTGCCTTTCACTCCAGCACCAGGACGATACTGGCATACACACGAATGAGGAACAGGCATATGACATGCTGTGCCATCAACTCCTCCTGCCTCAGAGATGGAGGAATTATTGTGGTTTTACTACAGGAAGAAGTTCTAAATTATTACCAAAAAGTCTTCCGTTACAGGCTTATTGTCAGACATGGGGAGAAGAGAAGCTCCATTAGAAATTTGTAGAACAGTAGTGAGCTTCAACTTCAGATGACACTAAGACTTCTATCTACCAGGACATTCAGAGAAGGCAGGATAGGCAGAAGAAAGCTTTACGAGCCTCTTCACACCACAACCACACTGGAGAACTCAGGCAGAGAGCAGGAGCTGGGAGAGGGAATGTCAGCAGTTCAGTGGTCAAGTTATCAAGGATCAAGTTATGTATTTTCAGAGGCACTGAGGGGGGCAGAGGCTTCGGCTGGCCCTTTCTGTAATTGAGAACAGAAGTCTACCGGCAAAAGGTAAACACAGGATGATTCAGAAGCATATTTAAAACATGTCCACAAGATAAAACTGAAGTTTCACTTATGCTTAACCTCCATTAGCTCATAATCACATAGTTTTTTACCCACAGTCCAATACTAATGGTGTCTTGCTAAAGTTACAGCTAAAGGAAATAAGAGTAGTAGTATAAAGCAGAGTGTGGACTCTGTGTCAGGCCTGCCTTCAGTTATCTACCGCCGACTAGCTGAGTGATTTTTGGCAAGTTATTTAACTTCGATAGGCCTTCATTTTCTTATCTGTAAAAAGAAAAGAATAACACCTACCTTGAAGACTCAATAATATACGTCTAGCATCAAATTTAGTGCCAAAGGCACAAGACAGGGTCAAATGAATGAGAATTTCCTTTCTTTTCCCTTAAAAATGCTATTCAGCTAAAGTTTCATTTGAAGCAATCTGAAGCACCATGTGGAGACGCTGGGAGAAATGGTGAAGGTGTCTTTTTATACTACTCATCTGGCCCCCAGAAAACACTGTAATTAGGAAATCCTCCCTACAGAAATCTGACTGCCCTTCAGGTACAAAACTGAAGCTAAAAATTGACCCTGAACACCAACTCTCCTAAGAAGAGGCTGCTGTTGTTCTTAGCTGTTTGCAGCCAGTATCCATCTGTTCAAGGCAGAAGGCAGACTCCTCAGTGCAAACAATTTTTTTTTCTGAGACATCACAAGAAAATATCCCTGGATAATCATTTATGTTATAGAACTTCCCCTAGGTCAGATGCAAAATCTTAGAACAGGCCCAGAAACTAAAATTCACTTTCTGAGTGAGCTGAGGAATCTATATTCTATTGAAAACAGACCCATGGGATAAGGAAAAACATGAGACTTACTGCTCAGAAAACGGTTTTTAACCCATCGGTTTTGCTTCCGGGCATATTTCTTGGTTACTTGTTTCAGAGCCTCAATACCTGAAAGATACAATAGATTTAAGAACATCTAGGTAAGCACTCCTTACCCTGCAGAGAGGCAGGCCCTCCCAGCCCAAGAGGAGAAAATCAGCCACGGCAGTACAATGTCAGACTTGGTGACGAAAAATCTCAATTCTGAACTGGAGGCTATTTGGGACACTTTGAGCCTTGGCTCTTTCTCAGACCATACCAGTAGGGTACCCTGTCACCCAAAGATGTCCAAGACTAGGTTAGACGGAAGAATTCACACCTTTCTTTAGAAGCTGGTTACTAGTCTCCAGTGTGCATTTTCCCTCAGTGATCAGGTACTCGTGAAATTCCTTGAAGCCAATTGATTGGAAGATACCATGTTGATAGTCCTGGCTGGGAACAGGAGGGCATCAGCAGGTGAGCCATTGCTCCTAAAAGCTAGCAGGGGCTTTGGAGATGGACCTAGTTGAGTCATTTCATCTGTCAGATAAGGAAATTGACATCCTGAGCAGTTACTGATTCTCCGAAATTCTCCCCTCCCCTACCCACCATGTTACTTCCTTGAAAAGTTAACTCCTGGCAATGTCTGAAAGATTAAAAAACTGCATCTGTAACAAGACTGATTAATCAGTAGACCCAAAGCCAGTATTAGTGTTATGGTCTTTTGACTACAGGCAAAAGATGGAGAAAAGGTCAGAATAACAGCCAAATCCTCACCTATTTTCCGAAACATTCTCCTGATTATAGCGTCTGTGAAAATCTCTTAGTTCCTCCAAGAGCCCAGCAGCAAGCATGTCATCCACCCTCTTATCCAAGCGCTTATCTAGAACTTGAATCAAATTAGCCCATCAACCAGCAAGCAAGTTGTAGGTATGTATATACTTACATGACGAGTGAACAGGCAGTCACAAAAGAAGATAAATTGTCCAAATGGAAGAAAGCATTCAGATTCCAAAGATTATGTAATAATTCATACTTTATTTACTTACACTTATGACTTTGCAACTCCAAATAAAAACAGCCACAATGAAGCACATGCCTTCTCATTATATAGAGAAAGCATAAAATTTCAGCTATTGTGAAGGACAAACATTTTCTTCTCGTATGGAATGTATATCCCAATGTGTTTTAGAGGTGGCTGAGGACCCCCTGGTTTACCTTTCTTATTTTTAATTTAATGTGCCATTATACTGTAACTTAGTGTTACTTACATTTGAGAATCCCTAGATGACACCTGGGATAGGAACATGGAACTTTAATCCAAAGACATCCTAGATACATTCTAAGCTACTGAGCCAAGCAAAGGAACAAAGAGTGAAAGGTCGTAATTGGTCAGATGGGACAGTTTTATTATGAATCAGATACCATTATTTTATGCTGAACTGTACAGTGTAAGTTTTTATTTACAAAATTTAATTATTGAAAAATTAACTTTTTCTATTAATTTATGGCAGATTAATTTAACAATACATTGTCACCATTTTTTTTCATTGTCATCATTTTAATTATGTTCTTCTACATCTCTACCACTGCGATTTCTTGGCCTACAGAAACAGTAACCTTCCTAGAAAGTTTGCATTTATTGTAGACTCATCATGTGTCAACCACATGCTGAGCTCTGTATATGTAATAATTCATTTAATCCTTAATGCAGCTATGAAATATATACTATTATTATTACCTCCATTTTACAGGAGAATTGGGACACAGAAAGGTAAACTAATTTGTCTTACAATTCACATAACTAGAAGCTAGTGGAGCAGGAATTTGCTATCAGACAGTCTGCCTCAAGAGCCTGTGCTCTTCCATGCTATACTCCACTGTTTGTCCACATAATGTCATCTTTCCAGGCCTATCATAGGCTATCTTTGCAAACTGTTCTCTGACTCTCCCCAGAGAATGTTTGTCATCCTTTCTCTGTGGCCCTACAGCACTCTGAAAATATCTCTAGCCCAGCATTTATCACATAAATAATATACAGACAGATAGAATCTATCTCCTTGTCTGTTGTCCCACTAGACTGGGAATTCCTTAAGAAAAGGCACTGTCTCTTCTTCAATTCCGAAACCCAAGTACAACACAGAATACCCAGCACTTCACTGAATGCTTACTGAATGTTTGCTGGATGAATAAGTTACAGGCATAATTATACTTTAGCAACAAAACACCATCAAGCCAGCAAGCTAATTATAAGGCATACTGTTTCTAGAACATTCTAGCCTCCAGACAACCTTCCACAAGAGACTTCCTTCTTTTTCTCCTTTGGATCTTCCCTGGATGGCAGTCTCTTTTCCTATTCCATCCATCCCATCCCACTCTACCCATGATGTCTTATCCTAGTGCCATGGCTACACTTCCTCCTTTTCCAAACAGATATCTAGGGGAATGGTACTCTGCCTAAGTCAACAAATAATGACAATGATAATAAAATTAATAGCTAATACTTATTTAGTGTTTATTATGAGCCACCCAAGGTTCTAAGCATTTTATATATATAGTAACTTATTAGTCTAAGTTCCATCACAGAGGGACTCTAGGGCATCAAAGGGCTGTTACCTGCCTGGTCAGCATGAAGCCAGAGGATGCAAGGGTTAGAGAACTTAAGAGGGCCTCCAAGGGGACCACCACCTTCTTCTGCATGTTGACGATGGAGAAATTCACTATGAGAGATTCCTGTTTCTTCAAAAACTTGCAAGCTCCTAAGTAATTTAAAAGGGGGCAGAGAGGGCACACCCATAAAAACCATTAGAAAATATTCATTCTCAAGTAAAACAAGAAGAAAGGCTGTTTATTATAGAAAGCCTCATTCTTGAAAGCCGGGCATGACAGTGTGCGCACCTGTAGTCCCAGCTACTCAGGAGGCCAAAGTGAGAGGACTGCTTGAGCTCAGGAGTTCAAGACCAATCTGAGCAACAACAGAGAGATCCTGTCTCTTCAAAAAGCGGGGAATGCAGAAAGGCTTATTCTCATTTTCACTGCGTTAAGTCCCAAAAGACATGAAGGTCTAGGGTTACTCTGGTCCTACAGCTACTCAGAAAAGGGTCCTAAAGAAAACTTTAGGTAAAGTAAGAAATAATACTGTTTCTCTAAAGATACATAAACTTTTCTGAAATCAGTTAAATAGGTTCAGAAACAACAGGTTTCTTCTATAAAACAGAATGGTACTCACTCACTTTCAGATAAACAGTAAAAGAGCTTGTTTGGGACACTTTGTTACAAGCCAACAAGTCTGGTCTCGCTGGCGTGCCTTTCCCACAGTACAAAAGCATGTTGTACATCCAGCTCATCAGCTTTCTTTTTAAATATGTCAAATTAATGAAGAATGCTCCTGGCTAATCCAGTGCTCTACTGGCACAAAGATCACTGAGAAAAGAACTCACATGCTTATTCTTAAACCATCATCCACTTCTGTCTGTATCTATTATGTTATGCGGCACAGGTAATTTAACTCCCAAATCTATACTCTACCACTCTGGGTGATTGCAACTTATCAGCCTGAAAGTGATCTTTCCCTTCCTGACCTAATTCTACTTCCTGAAACTCTAATACAAGAGTGTAGACCCCTTGTCTTTCAGTATTACTGGTCTCTCAAAGAAGATCTATGAGAAAAAAATGTAGTAACAGATATCTCACTTATCTGGAGTTAAAATACAGCCTCAAGCCAAAAAAAAAAAAAAAAAAAAAAAAAAAAAGTCCTCATTCTCTAAAGAAGACTCTAGAGCCTTTGCTTAGAACCTATTGACTCTTACTTAAAAAAAAAAAATTTATCAAACTAATTACTCATTTAGAAGCAGCAAAATGAGGAAAGGTGACAGGAAATAACTGATTAGTAAAAGGAGAGAATAATAAATACCAAGCTCTAGAAGGATGTAATAAACAATATAAAAAGGTATGTTCATAATAATGTTCCTAAGTTTAAAAAAAATTGAATGTTTTCTATTAAAGTGTTTAAAATGTTTGGATACTGAAAATAAACTTCATTAATCTAAAACATGCATTCGTTTTTCCTTTTTTTATTTTTATTTTTTATTTTGAGACAGTCTCACTCTGTTGCCCAAGCTGGAGTGCAGTGGTGCAATCTTGGCTCACTGCAACCTCTGCCTCCTGGGTTCAAGCAATTCTCCTGCTTCAGCCTCCTGAGTAGCTGGGACTACAGGAGCATGCCACTATGCCTGGCTAATTTTTTGTATTTTAGTAGAGACAGGTTTTCACTGTGTTGCCTAGGCTGGTCTCGAAATCCTGAGCTCAGGCAATCTGTCTACCTCGGCCTCCCAAAGTGTTGGGATTACAGGTGTCAGCCACCATGCCTGGCCCAAAACTTGCATTCTTAATGGGGTTATATTGCCTTTAAGGGGTGAGAAAACTTAGATATTACAATTTGTACTTCCTCTGCCCTGCCCAAAGGACAACCCTACCTGAAGAAATCCTTTTCTTGGCTGAGTACTATGGCTCATGACTATAATCCCAGCAGTTTGGTAGGTTGAGGCAGGAGGATCGCTTGAGCCTAGGAGTTTGGGACTAGCCTGGGCAATATAGCAAAACACCTCTACAAACAATTAAAAATTTAAAAAACTAGCCAGGTGTGGTAGTGCACACCTGTAGTCCCAGCTACTCAGGAGCCTGAGGCAGGAGGACACCTGAGCCCAGGAGGTCAAGGCTGCAGTGAGCCATGATCGTGCCACTGCACTACAGCCTAGGAAACAAAGTAAGGCTC